ATACAAATTATATATTAAATGGTAAACCAGAACTGGAAAATAGTATTCCTTCAAAAATAGTCCTAGTTGATTATACTGTCTATTTTATTTTCAGAAGAAGAAGATATTCCCGAGTTATTTGATCACAACGAGGGCGGTGATTTAATTTCCATGAGCATATCAGTGATTAATGTTCTTGATGATAACGAAGAGTTAGGATCATTCAGCTTCTATGTAGCCTCTGGGTATAATCTATATAGCATCATGCAAGGTCTTGTATTATTCACTCAAGGAAGCTTTAAGTAAGTTGTTGTTTTTTTGGTGGGTATTATGCGATGAAATGGCAATTTGACTAATATATATGCTATATTTTTCTTAAAATAAAGAAATGATGGAAAAAAAATAGATTACAGCATTTAAGTTTCACATTATCCTCTCTACTCCTTACTGTTGGTATCGTAATATGGATATATGCAACATTATAGTAAAATCGCCAGCTTTCTACCAGGATAAACATTTTATATATAATATAATATATAATTAATTTATAATTCTCCTAATCTTACAGTAGGAACGAACCTGATTAGTTTCTCCGCAGAACCGCCATAACTACTGTAATTTTAAATTACTACAGGAGTGTAATACACTTTCATTCGATACCTCTATATATTTATATATTTTCAATATCAATAATTTTTATCATACTTATATCATAATATTTATTCTAAACAGCATAACTATATACTATTGTCATTATTTTTTACAGTTTTGTACCCAAGGATACCACATGGGGCCACTTCATCGAATCAATGTATGGTATTAAAGGCGATAATGTGGCTAAAACATTCTGGCATATTTCCAATCATGACGAATCACTGTCAGTTGGTAAGTCTTAATTATAATACAGATAAACATAATTGACAGGAACTACATTTATTCTGCAAAGTTTTTATATAGTAAAGCAACCTACATAACTCATTTGAATACATCATTAGCGTCTCCTGGTGTCGAAAATACAGACAAAATCATAATACGACAGTATGATAAAAAATATTTAGAAAATAAGGTCACTTAGTGATTTCATCTAAACATTATGTAAATTACCAATAATGTCGATTTCTCCTTGAAAAAACAAAACATTATCAAACAATTCATAGAACACAACCAATATTATCTTATAACAAATGCCTCAACCAATCATAACTCTTATTAAAGAAAATAAACTAACCATCCAGTGATACTTTTAGATAGAGGAACTATATAAGAGTTCAACTATGCAACTGTGAATGGCAAAACTAAATTCGAACTACTTATACTTTGCAGTAGCCATTGTCACTCCTTAAAGGCACTATAAACATAATAATTTATCAGGATTTAGGACCAGTTCTAGTAACACATAAAAACAAACACAAATAAAACGGTAGCAAAAAGTATCATAAATTCATCTCGCTTTCCACAAACAAAGGTAGTCCTACCTTCTTGCGTTATTGTATTTCTATACGAATGAAGCATTGAAAACTGGTCACTTCAGGAAAAATGCCAGAAATCTGCTTCACAAATCCTGGTCATGAGGTTATACTGCCACTAACTCTGTAAGTTGATGTGGAATGTTAACATCTATTTTCCAAAAATGTATAAACAAGTTAGCACAACAAAATATATGGAGAATGGTCATTTCAATAATGTGACTGGTATTCAAATAAGTGCAGGAAATATTATACATAATTATTATTTTTCACTTCGCAGTGAGGATAAAAACCAGTAAACAAAGTGA